TTACATTTGATCTTTTACATTGTATATAATGTCTATTGATTTTATTGTTTATTTTAATATTTGTGTACAGCGCTTTGTGATTGTCTGTCTGTGAAAAGCGCTTAATAAAGTTTACTTACTTACTTACTTACTTAATAGCACCTATTCCTGGATATAAAATACATTTAGTATTAAATAATAAAAAATAAACATACATTTTTCAATTTTTTTGTTAAATAACCACAGACAGACATGAAGGAGATTTTCCAGGCCTGGCTTTTTATGGAAGATAACCACCTTAAAATATTCTGCAGTAGATCAAAAACGTGAGAAAACCATGAATCACCACATGAACATTGCCTGATGCTGCTAAAGTGAAACAGAACACAGTTACAGAGGTTTTGTCAGAGACACAATTTTAAAAAGTTTAAATTTCTCTCGGTATTGAACAGCAGAAATGAGGCCGGATGTCATTTTGGATTTAAAAAAACAAACAAAAAAACGTCCGACAGCACCTTATACAGCGGTAGATTGGTGCATAAGCAACCAAAAAATGCAGAAAACAGATTTTTGATGGGAAACTGGTCTTTAAGTACGCTGAGATAGAGCTGTGCAGGGAGTGTGATTTCATTTTGGGGACACAAAACAGCAAAAGTACGAGAAAATTCATGGCAACGTTTTTCAACGTGAAGCAGAGTTTTGATCTTCTTTTGCTGCCGGTTCAGTGAATTTTGGTCGGAGAGCGATAAAACCTGCAGCTCCAGAATCTATGAGCTGTTGGCTTTCAGCCCCGACGACACGTACATGTCAGTGTCGTCGCGCTGCGCTTTGTGTTTGCATCTTTTTGTGAAATCAGTTTACCTGCTCTTTAATCATTTGCTGTTTAAGCTGTTTGGCAGTTGAAATGCTGAGATTCTCGCATTTCTAATAAAATACATTTATCTTTAAAAATCAGTATCGCATTAGAAGAATTCAGAATATGTATCTTGTACTTGTAATCTCTGTTTTTTCTTAGCTATGGGCAAATGAAACAATCAGGACCATCTTCACATTTTTACCCAGAACAGAAGTTAAAAATTAACCTTTACCACGTCTAGTTATATGCTCTCTATACAATCAATTGTTGTATGTAAAGACGATGATTATGCTGTAGCACCTAATTAGTAAAAGAAATGTAAACATAAAATATTGAATACTTATCTAAAAACAGTTCTATGACATGAACTCTTGTGTCTGAAGCAGGGAGGAAATGAAATATAGAACAGTCGTGTGTATTTTTAAACTGTTAGCTCAGCACGCCAGATTCCTTTTCAACAACATCTGTTACTGATCCTAATTAAGTGCTAAGTTTCGTCAAAAAACTTTTGACTTTTGACAAGAGAACGACTTTTCAGTGCTAGAAGTTGTATTTTCCTTTCCTACAAGGAGTAGTAGTTTTTTTCTTTAATTCAAACTACAAGAGGGGAAAACTGGCTTGATTTCCTGAGAACCATTGCAACACATTCAACAGCCAGCTCATGAAAACTTGCTCCCAAAGCTAAAACTATTTAAACACAATGCCCTTGAATTAAGAAATAAAGTTTTTTCCTCTCTTTACTGTTACGTTGTACAATTTTTCAGTGCATGTTTACACAAAGTGTTAAAATAAACTTTATAAAATGCAACAATAAATAGAGTTGATGTCCTCCAACTTATCTCTGTATCATTTCCCTTTGCTTTAATTCCAGAAGTGTTTAACTTTCCAACTCATTGTTTTAATGCCTGTTTTTATGTTACAATAGTTTCTGCCACTTAGATGTCTTCATTCACTTTTATCAAAAGTTATTCACTTTTTTCTTTCACAATTATTATTTTCAGGTAGCTGTCCCTCCCTGAGCCTAATTGGAGGTTTCTTCCTGTTAAAAGGGAGTTTTTCCTTACCACTGTCACCAAGGAGGTCATCTCATTGTTGACGTTTTCTCTGTATTATTGTATGGGTTTTATCTTACGATATAAAGTCACTGTTATTATGATTTGGTGCTATATAAATTGACGTGAACTGAATTGAAATTGAATTGTTATTAATTCTAGGGTTGTTGTTTTTTTCATTTTTATTCATTTATATATTTTTGTTTTGAGTAGTTTTAGCCCATAAGTGATAAGTAAGGAAGCATGTAAGCATATCTCTCAACTGAATCCTTTTAGTTTTACTTCTTTATGGCTTTTTTTTTAAATATAATTATCTTTGCATTTGGTGCTTTTTGCAGCATGCTATAGCATTTATTATCCTAAATGCTACCATGGATGCTTTATTTGTTCTAAGTGGTTCAATTCTGGTTTACATTTGTGTAACTTCTATCTTCTTTGAAGATACTCAGTCTTTTCAATAGTTTTAAAAATTTCTGAGGTGATGTTCACAGATGGTTATTTATATGCATGAAAACAACACTGTTGCTTACTTTTGACAATAGATGGTTCCTAGGAGAGGAGTGCTAATATCCAGCATTATTCACTACCGTACTGGTAGATATGAAAAACTTAATGACCACAACGTGCTCTAGCTTCAGAAATAACATCTTATATGCATATCACTGATTTTAAGGGCCATTTTACCAGTGCAGGCGATATTGATTGGCCTCTCAAAGTACTGCTGCCTGAAGACGATGCCTGCTGCTCGGGCTTTGGCCTCTGGGTTTTCCTGCCTCTTCCCCTTCAGTCCCACTGCTGGAGGGATAAAGTACCGCTTTTTGGTTCGGACCGGCAGGTAAAGTGGAATGGGATGTTGCACATCCAGAGACGTCTCAGCATTCTAAGAGGATGGAGACAAATATGTGTTTAACCACCACAGTTATCCTCTAAACTCACTGGCCCTGAATTCTACTTTTACAAAACCTAAATACTTTCAGCTTTTGTCGACACTGTCAAAAATACACCTTTATCTTTAATACCGAGAGGGCTGTGCCCCTTACCCTGACAGGTGTTTCTAATATTTTGCCTCCCTCACAGGTGTACATGCCTGGAATACCATGCGTTTTAGTTTATATTGAACTCAACTGCTGTGAAGTTGTGATCTGTATATCTTAATCTTGTCAAATACTTAACACAGTGAAAACCTCAAGCTACGTAGTATTGTTTCATCCAGCAAGATGAACACAAAGTCTCTCTTTAGTTAAAAAAAGAGCACCTCTGAGCAAGCAAGCAGTTAATTATATATATACACATCTATATTCTCTCTCTCTCTCATATATATATATATATATATATATATAAGATATAATTACATTATCTCACTTAAAGGTAAATAGAGTTAGTTTAGCTGACAGAAATAAACGTCCCTGTGTCTATGTGGATGCTCATACTCTGTCTGTTAGCTAACATTAGCAAGGCTAGCCAGTGTAGGACTATAGGCAGTACTTATATGAAGCAAATCAAACGAATTGCTTCTTCTACATTTCGACTGTATGTCTTTCTACGACACTGTGCTCGTAAACGTTACAGTACCTTTAAACTGCTACAAATCGCTCTATGAAGAGCCCCCAAAGTCCTCCTCATGGGCATCGCCATCTTGCCAGGATTTTCGTCATAGACTTCCGGTTGTCTCTGTCAAAATAAAACAATAATACTATGAAACCGCTGAGCAACGTTAGGCACTTAACCCCATACATGCATACACAGTGTTATGGAGTAACGTGTACCGGCGTTACGTATTTAAAATACAAAATATGAGTAACTGTATTCCGTTAAAGTTACCGTTTAAACGGGTGGTATTCAGGATACAGTTCCTTGTTGAAATAAATACACGGCGGTCTTTTCCTTTTTCATATATGCCTTCTATATTTTTGGTCATGTCACCCGGTGGAAACCCAAACAAATCACGCATTAAGAGACTCTAGTGCCTGTGTCTCAATCTCACGGCCCATGTCACCTCTACGCATAATGACGTGAATAAATATTTTTAAAATGTATTATTCAAAAAAAATATTTAATATGAAGGCGATAGGCAGAGTGTTACAGGCATATCCCTAAAAAATGTAGCCGAATGTAGCGGACCTGTTTTTATATACGCGCGGATTAGTTTTCTATTCAAGATCGCTGCAAAAAGTGCAGCCTTACCCAATGTCCACCCTACTGTCACTCATTTTATATTAAGATTTAGTTGGTATTGGTTTGGCAAGTAACCTTCAATAATAGTATTAAATCACACAGCAATCGTACATTCATGTAGTTGTAAAAAGCATGATAATATATTAAGTAATCCAAAGTATTTAGAATACGTTACTCTGTATTTTGTAACGTAACTGAATACGTTACAAAATACATTTTGGAGCATGTATTCTGTAATCTGTAGTGGAATACATTTGAAAAGTAACCTTCCCAATACTGTGCATACAAGTATCTTGGTTACATGTGAGAAATTAAACATCTTATTTTGGATTCAAAAAGCTGGATAAGCTCTTATCTTAATCTTGATAATGTTGTTTATGAGCACCTGGAGGATTATGATAAAAACTGGGATGTTGTGACATAAAACCGGGGATTTTGTTTGTGCCTCATATGATGAAAACCAAGATAAGATACAACATTTTTGTACTAACTGGTAAACAGGCCTGTAACAGAAGATGAAAGATCTACATAACTACACCTCTGATCATAACACAGTAACTGCTTCAGCAGTTCTTCTGGTGCTGCATTCTTTGGAAATCTATAGGTCTTGAATGTTGTTGTTAAAGAAGTTTCTGTCTGTGGGGTTTCTATAGCATTCCATTTGTCCCAAGCTTCTGTCCACATGCACAGGGTTGACTGAACATGTGACCAAATATTTGTCTCTGTCTTTTCAAGTGTGAACTCAACTTTAAGCTGTGACAAAAACTATGCTGACCAACCGGCCCATCTGAGCTTAGCATGTTGTTTTTGTGCATTCTTATGAAAAACAACTCAAAGTGTTATTCTCTTTGTTATTGTTCCAGTAATGTACTTTAAAGAAAACTTGTAATTATATATGGTAACAACCAGATTACATTTGTTTTTTTTTTTAATGTTTATTGAAGTTATGCATAAAATAAAATGTACATCATTTAGCTTCCTTAGTTTTAAGACTCATATAAGTACAGGGGAGCATAGTAGTCTAGGTGTCTGC